ATTAGTACATCAGGACATAAGTTTTGCCTTAATTTAGTAACTTATTCATCATTTCATACTTTCTTTGTTTTAAAAGCAGGCTGTTCAGCAGTTCTCTGCTATATTAACTAGAATTAAATGGTAATGCTTAAAACACAGCCCAGGTGACACAAGTGAGCTATATAAAATGTATCAGTGACTGTACAAGAATGTGAAGAATGAGCAGCAGACAAGAGAGTATGTGAACACAGCAATGCAAAAAAGAACCACCTGAGACACTCTGAACCAAGGCGTTTTCCAATCTTGCTTTCCAGAACACCTGGATCTGAGATCCCTGGGAGCAGAATTAGGCTGTGTAACCTTGATTTGATTAGTCTTGCCTGAAGCACTGGCTAACCAGGGCTTGAAACCAGTCCAATCTCTACTGAGAATTTCCACAGATATATACGTGTGTATGCATGTATGGAAGAACCACACAAGGATCATGCTAGCTGGGGATTCCGAGTCACTGTACTTCCACGTGGAAGCGCATATTCTCAGCAGCAGGAGCTCAGGCTGGAATTTGGGTTTGAAACCCTGCTGTGGAATCCCAATCTAGGTGCCAGTAACCTTGGGAAGCAAGGGACACAGCAGGAAGCAGATGGAGGACAAGGACTGAACCCTAAACCTTCCAACAAATGGAGCCCGCACATCCTGAAAGAAAATGCTGAAGTGTTTTCCTAAGGGAACAAGAGAATAACAGGAACTGTGGCTAAGTGGACAGCTGTTTGCTGTGCCTCTCTGGTAAAGTCTGTGGCTTGACATATGAGCATAAGAAAGAAATGGACAGTGAATGATACTACTTGATCTTGCTACGGGAGAAATAAAGGGAAGACGCATCATTCATTGGGTTAATCTAGTGGTTCACACACCTGACTGAGCAATCGAATCTCTGAGGTGTTCCTTTAGAATGCAGAGTTCTGGGCCTCCACCCTTAAAGATTCTGATTGCATAGGTCTGAATTTCTTTATTCATTTCAAATAATTACAATGTTCAGTTCAATGTGGGGTTTACCGCTTTTACAGTTCAGTTCAGTAGATCACTCTGAGAAGTATATTTTAATTACTGCATATCTATATATAACATGCATAGCATATAGGAAACTTAACACTCAAAGGAACTGAGTGGCTTGCCAAAAATTATATAATGCAGCAACAATGTGAAGGTGCTCATTTAGAAAAAAGTATACATAACATATACAACCACATCCATTTCCGTACAATAAATAAATGTCAGCATCTGAACATATTTCTAAAAGTCATAGTAAATCTGAAGTAAAACCAAAAGTAAATGACAAATTTCTTAAAATATTAAAAGTAAAAGCCGTTTGAAAAAACTCATAAAATAGATAACGGTTCTTTCAGGTTTAAAAATATGAAATTTGGAGATTACACCTGATAAAGAAAATATGACACTGTATTTTTTTCTATTTAAAAAGATCAGTCTTTTCATAATTGAAAGAATTACATGATTGATTAACTACTGTCAGCACTACTGTCCAAACCATCCCATTTAATATTTTTAAATATAGTCACACACTTGAGTATTAAGTTACATAAATAAATGCATTAGCAGTCTAAGACTCACTGAAACATTTATATTATGATTCTTCAACATAATCTGAGATGAACTCATAATAAAATAAGTTACAAGACTGGATTTCATCATGACTTGCTCTGCTGAAATGAAGTATTCATAGAATTTAACTTACTTTTTGACAAATGAAAATTCTACATTGTGGGAATCTGCTTTTGCATATTATTTAGAAAATTCCACAAGGCTTTTTTTAAGGGATTACAAAAAGAGGAATCCTACTGTGGACCACAGAAGATGTAGCAAACAATGGTTTACAAATGGTTATGGAAGAACTCTGGGCAGTCATGGTTTTCCTTTCATTATGGACTCCCCAAATTCAAACATGTTTTTCAGATGAAAGTTAAACGAACAGTTCATGGAAATTACATCACTTGCTTAAGAACTTCAGCTTTTTAAGATTTGAGAGAGAAAAGGAGTAGCTAATAGTTGACTCTAGTTTAAAGAAAATGTTGCCTGCAGGGACGCCTTGATTCATTGCTTCATTCTTTCTTACAGGTTCTTCTTCGCTTGTTTATAATAAAATAATCCACTGCTACTGTGAAGACAACTTCTGATTCAGTTCCAAGGCTCTTGTATCGCCATGAGTTTTGGCATTATTTACTAGCACCTGTAGAAAATCAAATATAAAAGCATTAATGTACACATGATCTATATTTAGTTAAGATCATAGGAAAACATTGCTAGATGGGCAGTTTTGAAAAGGCATCTCCAACTACACAAGAAAACATGACACAGCATAGTCTTTCCATATCTGCTGAACTAACTGTTCAACCAAGGCTAGTACCAGAGAGAAGCACAATTGACTCAAATGTTCACCATGTTGGTTGTTAACACTATCAGCAATGCATAAGATAAACTTAAAGGTTTTGTATGGTGGCTTTGCTTACAAACTTCATCACCGCTAAACCATTACTCAACATGATTTTATATACAGAACTGTCCAAATGATGTCACCCACCTTTAAAATGATAGCTTAGGGTGCAGACTTTAATTTCTAGGCTCTACCAAAGATCTACGGTAATGGCAGAAAAACCACAAAAATAAAAACAAATGCTACTTTTTTAAACGTCCAAATACAAAGAAGAGTAATTTTGAAAAAGCAGTTCCAAAATGCTTAGAGCTGAAGGAAATTAAGGAATATATATATGTATCTTACATCAATTAGCTCGTAGTCATTTTTGGCATGTAAGTGTCTCAGCAGGTACCAACGAGCCGTTGATACAATAGATTTGGGATACCCAGGCTGATAAACCACTCTCTCCAACAGTCGCCGTGTCTCTCTGTGGAAAATATACTTCTATTTAGTCCAAAGCTTTTTAAAAAATAATTTTATTAGGAGCTCTTACAGATATCATAACATTTTCATAATTCAATCAGATCAAGCATAATTGTACAATTGGTAGAACCATTTGTTTCAAAACATTTTCTTCTTGAACTCTTAGATATCAGCTCTCCTTTGTCCCCTCCCTAGAACCCTTATTATTCCGACTATATATTATTATTATTTAGTCCAAAGCTTTTAAATTCATATAAGCTATTTCAATGACTAGTATCACACACATTGCACAATTCTCTTATTTTTTTATAAATATTGTATCTATTTTACTAATTTATTCAAGTAATACTACACTTGTTAATTGCTTATGCTAGGTATTATGCCAGTGTTTTACATGCATGGTCATATTTAGTATTCACAACTTTACAAGTGAGGTCACAGTTATATTCCCAGGTTGTAGATTAGTAAATTAAGGGTCCCTTCATATAGAAAGGGGAAAGGCTCCTATTTTGTGAGTGCTTCTCAGTGGCTCACTTCTAATCATTTCAGAAAAGAAAATGCATAAATCAGTCACTAACACAAAGGCGATATAAGAGGCGCTTCCAAATGTTTGTGGAAAAATTCTATTGTCTTTTAATTCCATTTTCCCACAAATATTTTGAAGCTGCTCGTGGAATGGGAGAAGAAGAAATATTTAACACCTGCGCTCGAGGTTTAGCATATGAGGCCCGGGTTGTGCTGGGCAAAAGTGCATGCTTTGAAGGAGTGGAGAATAGAGGCACCTGTGTCCTAGGGCTGCACTTAAGAGTTGTGGTCAAGCCTTGTCCTTCCTGGCTTACTCACACCTCTGGTTCCAGTAACATCTGTGTTGCCAGGAACAACACCCACAGCAGTTAACTGCAGAACTACCAAATGGGTAACAACTGGCTGGAAGCAGAAGCGAAAGAACAGATCTTCCACCTGTGTTTACAAAGGAAGCCCAGAGGAGCACCCGCTTTCCTTAGGCTGGTTCAGGGAGCGGCAGCCATGGGGGGGAGTGATGCAAAGCTCCTCTAATTAGGCCATTCCATGGAGTATCGGCAAAGAATGGTTAGGATGTTTACATTGTAGCTTAGATCATTTCTCAGTAAAATTAGTCAAAGGGGGAAAGGCTCAGGATAAATATTAATAAAATGCCAGGGGGGTGCTAGTAAGCCACAGTGTCTCATTCTCCCTTCATGCCTATTTGTGGCAGGACCTTGGCCACCTACTTAGGTATGTCAAGTTCAACTGCTACACCACCTGTTCTGTCCATTTTACTTGGGGTTGCTCTTTTGGCTTGTTTTTGTATTACGTTTGCTAGCTATTGGAGCTAGGTGTTACGTTCAGAATTCTAAACAATCATCCCATAGAGTCCTCTATATGCTCTTCGAAGTCACATAAAAAAAATTAATTCCTCCCTTACCCCATATCCTCTCTCCAATAACAATATTTATAATTTTTATATTTTAAACTGAGAAGCATTGAATTTTCCACTTGTAAAATCATATTATTTGCAAATGATCTGGCTCTGTCCCTTCGTCGCTGTTATATTAGTGAAAGCCTCTGGTACTGCATCCTAGAACATATGTCTTTCTAGTTTAGGTCCTTTGGAGAAGCCACACCACACTGGTCGCTCATTCTACCACAGGAGAGGAAACCCCCAAGCCTTTCTTCTCTCCAAGTGCTGTCCAGCCAAACCTCCTCCTTATCCTGCACACCGAATTACTTTTTAAAACAAATGCAAGACTTAATTTTCTCCATTATTGGGTTATTACAGTCAGCTTTTCCAAAGTTGTTGCAGCTATAAAACTAACTTCAGTCTGTTACATGACTTTAACTCACTATAACGCTTTCATTTCTAAATTTGTTTTATTTCCTCTAGAAGGGAGGAAAGGGGACAAACATTTCTCAGAAACACAAAAACAAAAAATGAAACAAATATTCTTCATACCTTGCACCCATTTTGCAGTTGAATTGCAGCAAAGCTTGGACAAGAACAGCCAGGGGACAAAAGCAAAGCTTCGAGGCCTCGGTTGTGGCTTCTTTGACCAAGGATGGCCAGTGATCACTGGATATATTTGCCTGTAAAGGGAAAGGCAGATGTTAAACTGCAGACACATTTCCTCTAAGAGTGCACACTTCACCTCTCACCACTGGTGTCTCCTGAGACAAATCCCCACGGGAAGGCTCAAGAGAACATAATGACGGAGCAGTGATCACAGGCGCACGCCTTCCCTCAAGAAGCTACAAGCAATATGATCAGGACACACTTTTACCTTTGTCTCCCACTTATCTCTTTACACTGGAAGTTGGATTTTATTCCACTCCTGGATGGACATTACTGTAGGCCCCGTGACCCTTACACCCATTGTTCCTACATCTCTTCACAAAGTCTCCATTAGAATTCTCTGCTTTCTCAACACTCCAGTTTTCGGTCATAGGTAACACTGATAGCCCCACTCCCCAGCTCCCAACAGGGAATGGGCACAGTAGCAAGAGACGGCTGGTGCTTGTCATTTTAGACCCCCACAGCAATTACCAGAGGTTTGTATTCCACTGGTCCCTGACAGATATGTAAAGCTCTTATTCTCAGGAAGAGATGTTCCTGGCTTCATCGGAAACTCACAGCTCAGAGCATCATGAAAGTGGAGGCCTCCGTCCAGAGTATTAAGAGCGTCACAATGGCAACTACAGAGCCTTAAGCCAAGCACAGAGCTCTGTGCAACGGCACAGGACCCTGGTGGTGAAGCTGACCGCTCCTGGCTAGTTCCACTAACCCGACAGATGTACTCAGTGCTGCTTAGTCCCTTCCCCTTCCCTAGCAAAGTGGAAACTTCTAGCTGCCACACTCATTCTGGGCTCTCACAAACTCTGGGAATACTTTTGGTCCCAAATTATAGCCACTCTCCTTCACTTGCTCCATCCTGTATTCCAGACAGAAAATGGCTGCCCACTCTCTCCTGGAAGCACCCAGCCACTATACAGAACACTTGGTCCCTCCCAGGACCTCAGACTAAGAGCCACCCCTATGCGGCATGTATCAGATACTCAACCAGATGCTTCTAGGTATGTGCCTGCAGGGCTCAGAGAACACACATCAAGCCTTCCTCTCTCTGGGAGCACCCCCTTCCTCACATTTGTCCTCAGGGACCTGTAGTACTCACAACCAGGCAACGGCTGTCTCCCAGGAGCCTTCCTCGGTGAGGACTTCTCTGCTGCCCGCACCCACAAACTCACTACCCTTCCGCTGAGCCAACCCTGTGAGCTGCAGGTCAGGGGAGAGCTGCCCCTATGGGATATTTTCCATCTCGGGGCTTACTTCTGTTGTAGTCTGTCATTGTCGTTAGCTTTCCGGACTCTCTGTTATGTACTTTACTACATTTTTCGGTATATGAAACCCGGGATGGATGAGTCAATAGAGAAAATAACTAGAATAAGGGTTCCTGGGGGGTGTGACAGGGCAGATGGGGAGTGGGGCATATAGGGGCTGATATAAAAGAGTTCAAGAAGTAAAATATGTTGATACTGATTGTGATAGTGATTATAAACACTGCTTGATAAGATTGAAGTATGGAATAATATGCTGTCTGGATTAAGTCCTAATAAAATGGTTCAAAAGGGGGGGAAAAATATATATATATATATTTAAGTGCTCTCTAGTTATGGTGGCATAGTGGGTTATGCGCTGAGTGGCTAACTGCAAGATCAGAGTTCAAACCTACCAGCTGCTCTTTGGGAGAATGTTGAAATTTGCTGCTCCTATAAAGATTACAGCCTCAGAAACCCAAAGGAGCAGTTCTATTCAGTTCTTCGGGCTCACTGTGAGTTAGAATAAACTCAGTGAGTGTTTTG